GAAGACCAGCCATTTTAACAAACGCCGGGGTCAGTCACCTGACCCGGCGTTAAAGGCACAGTGCCTCAATCACAGTGGGAGGCTTAGATATCTCCCACGTGTGATTGTTAATTCTGATTGGAAATTATCCAATCAGAATTAACCTATGGATTTAAATACTTACCTTTCCTGTTCCTCTCCTCCCTGTTGTGGTTTTTACTTGCTAGTATTACTACTGAACTTGTGTTTCTGGTTACGTACTCTCTGGCTTGTTTATCCGACTTTGTGACTTTCTCCTACCCTTTGACCTCGGCTTGTCTATGGTTATTCTGTCTTCTGGTTCCCCTTTACTCAGCTTGTTTCCTGACTATTCTTTGTGTGCTTAGCCCGGCCACTCTAAGGTCCGGTACTGCACTTTGTGTGTGTGTGTTGGCGTGTTTGGTTCCCCGAATCGTGACATATATTTTGTAAAGTTGGTGTATGCTATTCCTGTACAAAGTTTTATTTTGTGTTCAGTTACATCTGCTGAGTAAAATGACACCCCCATTGTATGTCTTTGGCACTATTTCGTGAAGTTACAGTGCCATACAGGATACCTGTCCTTTTCAGTATTCACAGTAGAATTTTGAGAGATGGATTTAATGAGCCTTAGCTTCCATTTGGGGTATTATAACAGTTTGACTGTTCAAAAAAAAACCACAAAGGCCTACCATTTGTAAAAGTAGACACTCCAGGGTATCTCATAAGGTGCATATTGTGCCTTAACATACCCCCATTTTTTCACCAATATATGCCAAAGTATGTGGTAAAAATAATTTTGTGTATTTTTTACATACGGATTGCATTTTTGCTGGGCGTTTTGTATATTTCATATGTGCCGCTAACTTCAAACCTCCCAAATTATGCTCAACTAAGTCTTCTGAGTACAAGGACACCCCCATTGTATGTCTTTGGCACTATTTCGTGAAGCTACAGTGCCGTATAGGAGACCAAGCCATATCCGTTTTTACCAAACTTTGAATTTTGACGCTGGGCCTATGTGCAATTTCCAAGCATCTTCGCAGGTTTTAAATTCAAACTACCCCACAAAGGCCTACCATTTCTTAAAGTAGACACCCCAGGCGGTTTCAAAAGGTATATTTTGAACCTTAGCGTGGGATCATTTTTCCGCTAGCTTGTACCAGATGTAGTGGTAATAAACGTTTTCTGCCTTTTTGACATACAAAGTGAGTTTGCACAGTATATTTTGCAAACCTTATGTGTGCTACGACTGTATAATACTTCATATGTTGCTCAGCTATGTCGGCTGAGTACAGCAATACCCCCGTATGTACCTTTGCCAGGTATGTGTGGACATCGGAGGGGCACATTTTAGACATAGCCATTCCAGTTTTTTTTCAAACTTTGAATTTTTACGCTGTGCCTATGTCCCATTTTAGAGTATTTTACCAGGCTATATAAGCCAATTACTCCATAAAGCCATACCATTTCTTAAAGAAGACATTCCAGGGTATTTCAAAAGGCATATTTTGAACCTTAGCGTGGGATCATTTTTCCGCTAGCTTGTACCAAGTTTAGTGGTAATAAGCATTTTTTCTGCCTTTTTGACATACAAAGTGAGTTTGCGCAGCATATTTTGCAAACCTTATGTGTGCTATAACTGTATAATACTTCATATGTTGCTCAGCTATGTCAGCTGAGTACAGCAATACCCCCCTTATGTACCTTTCCAGGTATATGTGGATGTTGAAGGGGCGCATTTGAGACGCAGCCATTCAGTTTTTTTCTAACTTTGAAGTTTTACGCTGTGTCCATGTTCCAATTTGGAGTAGTTTAGACGGTTGGTTATTGAAACTTCCCACAAACACATACTATTTATTAAAGAATACACCCTGGGGTAATTCAAAAGGCATATTTTGAACCTTGGCGTGGGATAATTTTTTTCTCTAGTTTGTTCCAGGTGTAGTAGTAATGAGCATTTTTAAAATGTATTTTTTTACTTTTTTTTACTTTTTTTACTTTTAAAAACTAGTTTTTAAACTTTTTTTTGCTTATTATTTTTTTTTTAAACTTTCCTGAACTTTCTTAAAACTTTTTTACAAATTTAACATTTTTCTAAGCTTTTTTTTTACCGTTAGCCCCTAACTAGCAGTAAGCAGCACTAACAGTAAATTCCCCATTTTCCCATAACTCCCACCCACCCCAGCTAGCAAAATATATAGTTATAAAATATTTAAATTAATTAATTAAATAAATTGAACCCCTGAGGGTTAAAAAATAAATAAAAGTTAATCTTCAGGGGTTAAAAAAAATTTAGATCACAGTATAATACTGTGATCTGTATTTGATCGCTGTAGGCAGTGATCGACTGACAGGGAAGGGGTTAAATTTTATTTGGACTAGATAAAGGGGGGTGTTTTTTTATTTTTTACTTAAACATTATTAAAACTTTTTTTAAGCTTAATTTTTTACTTTTTAAAGTTTATTTTAAAACTTTTTTAACGTTAACCCCAAGTTAACCTAACACCAAATCCCCCAATTGCCCACTAACTTCCACCCACCCCAGCTAGCTAAATATATCATTTTAAAATATTTTAATTAATTAATTCAATAAATTTAACCCCTGAGGGTTAAAAAAAAAATTAACCCTCAGGGGTTAAAAAAAAATCAGATCATTGTAAAATGTAATACCTGCCGATTGATCACTGTAGTCAGTGATCAATTGGCAGGGAAGGGGTTAATTTTTTATTAAAATGGGTAAAGGGGGGGGGGACTTTAAATTAACTTTATTTTTTTTTTACAGCAGTGGGCAGGGTCAGCACTGTTCCTGCTCCCTGCACTTCACACAGAACCAGGAAGTGCAGGGAGCCGGAAGGTAAGTATACAGAGCACATGTGCTCGCTCTGACTTGCGGTCAGAGCGAGCACATGTGCTGGGCAGCCTGACAGGGTGCTCCCGGTATGTCTCGGCGATCGCAGGGTTAATTTTACTGCGTGATGGACGAGGTCCGTCACCCGTCCTTAAGGGGTTAAATGGTCTCTCAGTCTGGTTCAGTAAGAATCACAATCCTGAGGAAGACTGTTGACCTGACAGTTGTGCAGAAAACCATAATTGACACCCTCCATAAGGAGGGAAAGCCTCAAAAGGTAATTGTGAAGGAAGTTGGATGTTCCCAAAGTGCTGTATCAAAGCACATTAATAGAAAGTTTTGAGGAAAGGAAAAGTGTGGAAGAAAAAGGTGCACAAGCAGCAGGAATGACCGCAGCCTGGAGAGGATTGTCTAGAAAAGGCCATTCAAATGTGTTGCAGACTTTCCCAAGGAGTAGACTGAGGCTGGAGTCAGTGCATCACGAGCTACCACACACAGACGGATCCCAGACATTGCTTCAGATGTCGTATTCCTCTTGCCAAGCCGCTCCTGAACAACAAACAACGTCAGAAACGTCTCACCTGGGCTAAAGTAAAACAGACCTGGTCTATTGCTCAGTGGTCCAAAGTCCTCTTTTCTGATGAGAGCAACTTTTGCATCTCATTTGGAAAACAAGGACCCAGACTCTGGAGGAAGAATGGAGAGGCACACACTGCAAGATGCTTGAAGTCCAGTGTGAAGTTTCCACAGTCTGTGTTGATTTGGGGAGCCATGTCATCTGCTGGTGTTGGTTCACTGTGCTTCATTAAGTCCAGGGTCAACGCAGCCGCCTACCAGGAGATTTTGGAGCACTTCGTGCTTCTTTCAGCAGATGAGCTTTACGGGGATGCTGACTTCATTTTCCAGCAGGACTTGGCCCCTGCCCACACTGCCAAAAGTACCAAAGCCTTGTTCAATGACCGTGGGATTACTGTGCTTGATAGGCTAGCAAACTCATCTGACCTAAACCCTAAAGAGAATCTATGGGGCATTGCCAAGAGAAAGATGAGAGACATGAGACCAAACAATGCAGAAGAGCTGAAGGCCGCTATTGAAGCATCCTGGTCTTCCATAACACCTCAGCAGTGCCACAGGCTGATAGCTTACATGTCACGCTGCATTGAGGCAGTAATTGCTGCAAAAGGGGCCCAAACCAAGTTCTGAGTCCATATGCATGCTTATACTTTTCAGAGGTCTGATATTGTTCTATGTACACTCCTTGTTTTATTGATTGCATGTAATATTCTAATTTACTGAGATTGTGGGTTTGGGGTTTTCATGAGCTGTAAGCCATAATCATCGCACTTATGACAAATCATGGCTTGAACTATCTTGCTTTGCATGTAATGTGACTATCTCATATACTAGTTTCCCCTTTTATGTTGCATTAGTGAAATAAATTAACTTTTGCACAATATTCAAATTATTCGAGTATCACCAGTACGTCTTGTTTTTGTTTTGTTTTTGTTTCAATAATAAATTTTGTGTATGTCTTGCAAAATCATATAACATGGAAAATCCTGAAATTAGTTCAGAATCCACTACAACAGTCACTAACAGAAAGTGGGAGATGAAGGATGAATGTATTGGGAGCATAAAACATGCCATGCATTCTAGAGGGGTATTTTTATACTGTGCAAGGAATGAACATTATGTTTTGGGGCTTAGGCAATTAATATATCGCCCTAATGCCCATTCATATTTATTAAAAAAGAAATGTATGATGTGATAATCTCTAGTATAATGCTTCATTTAATATTTTTAGATAAACTTTTTTTTTCGAAATATTTACTAATCAAAATGACGTCATAAATAAAAAGTATATCAATGTATGGAAACAAAATCTAAATATGTTTAAAAAAAATGAAATCATTATAAAAGTTTATAAAAATAAACTGAATCTTTTAAAAAGCTTCTAAAAATATTAAATCAAGGCCATCATGACGTGCGCAACAGCACAATCTAGTATTTAATCGTATAGAATTTTTTTTCGCCTCAGATAAATCTTCCCATGACACATAATGCCTTAATGTGTTAATTCCTAAACAATTTACAATAAACACAATGTTATCAAGCATTGTTGAATGAATACCATTTTATTGAAGAGAAACGGTACAGGTTTGTAGTAAAGCTTATATTTACAACATATGAGTGAGGATTATCCTAAGAGAAGATGGGGAATAGAAATATTTTGAGTTTGCAAATGAGAATGATCTATGCATAGTGAATACCAAACAGATCAATATAGCAGATTGATAATATATAATGCCAGTGATTTCACTACAATCTATACTTTCACTACAATCTATACTGGCTAGCTTTTACTTTAGCAGTGGTGTCCGTGGCCAGAGCTATGTTTGCTTTTGGAGAGGTGGCTAAAGCTTCTCCCACTGCTTGCACTAAATCCTCCCTTATGATCACTTGTACCATGGGACTTCCCTCCTGAGCTGGATTTTCCTCCAGTGCTAGAATGTAGCACAGCTGAAAGACATGAAGGTAGAATGTTAAACATTTGCTGAAAAACATGGATGTAGAAAGTTAACTATTTGTACTTGACTGGACTGAAATCTTCAACCAAATAAGCAGCCATTTTAGGTCTGTAATAAATATGAAATATATAGAGAAATATACATAACGAGGGACAATTTGCAAATAAAAAAATCATTCAATTTAAAAAAAAGTTTGAAAAATCTGAGTTCTTAAAATAACTATTAAATTGTGTTTTATTATAGTCTGAATTTTACTTACAATTTTACATTAAGATCTGTTATCTGTTAAGTATATTAATACGCTCATTTGTATATGTATGTGTGAGTGACCACGTGTTTGTGTGTTACATAATAATCAGCAATTGTTACTCACATTGCCTACAGTGTAAAACAATGTATAGATCAATTTAACACTGGAATGAGGAAAGTGACAGTGTACCTTATTGAGAATTTAAAGTGTGAGGTTAACAAGTGAGTTACACACTTAATTTATTTATGCATATGTCCTTGTTAACATTTAATTAAATTGTTTAAATATTGCCTCACTTACATATGTTAACAGAGTCATGTGCAGTCAACCTGAAACAAAACATAAAAAGTATTAGTTTAGTACCAAATTACTTTCTCACATTTGGACAGAATAATATGTGATAATAATGTAATGGCATTTGATTTCAAATTTATAGTTCTTTAACAATCGGAATTCTATTTGAAATGTATAGTTTTGTATTTTTATTTTAGAACCTTAGTGAGTTACATCTGTGATACGTGTTTTTCTTTGCAACCACTATGTAATAAAGGTTAAAACAGCTGGTATGTGCCAAATGTTTACTGGGAGTCTGTCAACTCCAAGAAAAATAATGTTTTGGCTGCCTGTGAGGCCTCAGTCCTGTATACCAAAATACGCATATCGGTAACTTATAAAAGGTATCATGTAGACAATCACATGACCCAACATAATTTGCAAAAAATTAGCATATTTCTTTTGTTAAAAAAATGTTATTTTCAATAGAGACAACATGAGGTGCAGCACCAATAATTAATATCCAGATACCATTTAATACTACCTTTGAAATGAGCCCTCTTAGCACCAGAACCACTGCAACTCAATATAGTGTTTAGATGAAATTAGACTTTACTGCAGTCTCTACGATGTAAACACTGCCTTGTCTGAGAAAGGCAATGTTTACATCGCTCCTTTCGAAGCTACAAGCCTGGCAAGGCCGATGTTCAGAATCCTCAGGCTGTGCGTGAAGATGCTGTATGCTCTCCATAAAGATGTATTGGAAAAATATATTTCTATGAAGAAATGATGATTGGCACAGTGTGGAGATATCTATATCTATGTGCTCAGTAGACCCTGAATGCTATCCTGAAAGATATTCAGTAATAATGATCTCAGACAGGGATGGAGTAGCGGCCTTATAAAGACTGTCATGGAATGGGATTAAAGGTAAGTGAAACTGTTTTATTTTAGTTAGAAAGTGGGGCATGAATCTAAATAGCCAGGAGTACCTCTAACATTCAAAGCATATATTTGTCTTTCTAATTTTCTAGTTCTCCGTTAATGCTTGTTGCTATTTCCACAACTTTCTCGCAAACACATATTTGTTATTATGGGGATAAGTAAACATGTATTACAAATCAAAGGAAGTGAAAGTACTGCTATAATGTCTGATACAGGTGCATTGTTGTAGAGATTAAAACTTGATGCAGAAGATTACTATTATAGAATAAAACAATAAAGAGCAGATTAAAGAACTGAGATGTTGAGATCGACATAAAGAGATTACTATTAAAATTTGTCCTGCTAAAAGACTCAATGATGAGAACATATAGGAACATAATGATGTAGGTCCACAGTTAGAAACCTGATGAGTGCAGGGTTTGTTTGAATACCTAGTTAACTCTCAGTAGGATATGGCACTCACCTGCCCTCCTCTCCTTCCAGCATCTTCCTGTAGGTGGCGATCTCAATATCCAGAGCCAGTTTCACATTCATCAGCTCCTGGTATTCTCGCAGTTGACGAGCCATATCCTGCTTGGCCTTCTGTAGAGCACCTTCCAGCTCAGAAAGCTTGTTCTTGGCATCTCTGACAGCAGATTCTCCATGTTCCTCAGCTTCATTTATTGCAGATTCAAGTGCAGAGCGCTGAAATGTTTTTATACATTAATATATTACTTGTAGTTACACTTCTGTTTTTGAGAGTAACTTTTTTAAAGTGAATACAGTTGGGAAATGTTAACAATATCAATTGAAGTGCTGATTTTGCTAAATCTAAATTTTTTCTTTGAATTTTATCTCTTCAACTACCTGGTTTATTCACTTGAAGTAAAACCTATTTTACCTGTGCTTTCACATTGTCGATTTCTCCCCTCAGTCTCTGAATTGCTCGATTTAATTCACAGATCTCATCTCTGCTGCTCTGCAGATTGTTCCCATTCCTTCCTGCCGCTGTCTGAAGCTCTTCAAACTGCCAAATGCAAAAGAAAAATTAGTATAGAAACATTTTTTATAGGTAATGATCTGTATGATTTGAATTGGATAGACTCACCCGTGACTGGTACGTGGCCTCCGCCTCAGCTCTGCTCCTGTTAGCTATGTCCTCATATTGAGATCTGACCTCAGCAATGATTCCATCCAGGTCCAGATCCCGACTGTTATCCATGAACACAACCACTGAGGTGTCTGAGATCTGAGCCTGGAGCTGGGCTATTTCCTATAAGGATACAAAGAACAGACGAGGCATGGTTGTAAAAAAATCAATTTTCTCACGTATAATAACTTCGTTATTAACATAAAGGCATTCTAAACTGACATACTTAGATATATTTGGGGTCGTAAATATACTTCATATTTGTTTTGCATTCCTTGTAAAATGACTAATGTCATGGATATTAAATCTTTCCAAATTAGTAACAGAGAAAAGTGAAAGTATATTTACCGCATCATACAGAGTCCTCAAGAAACTGATCTCTTCAGTCAGGGAATCAGCCTTTCCTTGTAATTCCGCTCTATTTATAAAAGCTGCGTCTACATCCTGAAGAAGAGATGAATGCATAGTAACAGTAAAATTATAGATATATGTTTATATTTGTTATTCTTTTACATATAGATTCAATTTATGTATGATATCACTCACCCTCTTTATTCCAACAAACTCATTCTCTGCAGCTGTGCGTCTGTTCATTTCTTCTTCATATCTACAATAGAATGTTAAACATTAATAACAAGCATACAGAATTCTAATTATACAGGGTGCTTTTTCTTTAGAAACTTTTAAGTTTACATTTTATTCTTAATATTAAAGTGGACTGGACTCTTAAATACATTTTAAGAGAGCACATGCAAAAATATAGACTAATGATGTGTTGGAAATTCGAAATTGTGCAAACATTGAAGACATTTATTATTTTCTTCCCAGATATATATGACATATCTGAATAACTCCATGATGTTGCAGTATGAGTGCATTAAATTTATACATTATTTATTCTATTATATTATAAACTATCTAAATAGCAGCATACCTTCTCCTTAGTTCTTCCACAGATTGCTCCATATTGTTCCTTTCTGAGTCCAGACGTTCTCTTTCACATCCCAGACTCTCCAGCTGTCTCCTGAGGTTACCAATAAAAGCCTCAAACAGTGGTTCTATCTGAAAGTGGGCACTTCTCTGTTCTTGTAATAAAGACCACTTTGTCTCCAGCATTTTATTCTGCTGTTCCAAAAATCTAACCTAGAAAAAAAAAATTTTTATACTTTTTGTTAGAAACCATATATATTTAGTACAAGGTGTCTAATAATATTTTAGAAAATGTGTAAAATGTACTACAAGTGACATAGACACATGCCTTATTTCTGCATGTAATGAAAATAGTATTTTTATTATTATTAATATTAGACTGCAATAGAAATTTAGTAACCCATACAAGTCTCTCGACCAAAGATAGGCATCCTTTGGCTCTCTAGATTTTGTGGAATGCATGTCACCTGATGCTTTGCTAGCATTATGACTGTAAGAGCATTATAGGTAATGTAGTCCACAACATCTGGAGTGCTGAAGGTTACCTAACCCTCCTCTAGACATTACTTGTATCCCAAATCATTCAGAGGTTAGTAGCTCGTTCTTTAATAGCATATCTAGATAAAAGCTTGATGAAATAGTTAACACTTATTGTAGATCTAGCTGTAATTACATTGCACTTACTTAGATTGCAATATATAATATTTCATTCATAAAAAATATATAAAAGTGCTGGTATTGGTAGACATTGGCTTCTGCAGCAAAAATGAAAGCATACTATTTTGATGTAAACTGCAAAATAGTTTAATTTTATTGTCTCATAACCTCTTGAAATTAAGACAAAAACACTGACTGATACCAGTTTGAACCATCAGCATAAATGGCTATAGAAGTGTAAAATTAAGTAACTTTTCCCCTTTTTTAACCTTTGCATAACTATTTTAAGAAGGAATAGCACATCCGCATACTACAAATTCAGTTATTTCTTTATTCCATGTATTCATTAAAATTATCTCACCTTGTCAATGAAAGAAACAAATTTGTCATTCAGTCCTCTAATCTGATTCTTCTCTTCAGTCCTCACTCGCTGAATGCTTGGGTCGATCTCCAGGTTGAGAGGAGCCAGAAGACCTTGGTTCACAGTAACGTTGTTGATACCTCCAGAGCAACCGGATCCCCCATATCCATAACCAATACCTCCAATACCGAAACCAGATCCATATCCAGATCCATGTCCAGATGCGTGTCCAGTTTTCCTAGAATGGCAGCTTCCCACTGAGATCTTGTTTCCCCTGGAACCCATACTATGGGCACTTCTGCTGCTAAAGCAATGCAGTGTCTTATGACCATGAGCTGCTGATTTGGAGGAGTGAGATAATGTGTGGTAAGAGCTGCCATGTTGAGGAGAAGCCACTGAACAGGAGCTGAAGTGCTTGTGTCCAGAGGTACCAAGGATGGAGTGATGAGACATGATGTTAATTCTTGCAGAGGAGGGATGTAGAGATCACGTTAAGTCTGCTCAGGCGATTCACATCTTCCAGACAAAAACTCACTCTTTTTATACTTCAAATGAGTGTTGGCTCGCTCACCCAAAATAATGTTATTAGCTGCCATGATCATTGTTTGGGAGTATTATTGCTGTCTGATTTCACGGAAATAAAACTTTAACACACCTATGTCATCAAAGCTAAATGCATTTATTGTTGGCTTCCTTTAGTTTAACCCCTTAAGGACGGGCGTTCTATGACCTCCATTTTGGAGTGGTCCAAAACGCCGGAGGACGGCATAGAATGTCCCCGCGATTCTTTGTACTTACCGGGTCCCTGACCTTCCCCCGATGGCAGTCGCGATTCTGGGGTCTTCCTGGGAGCTCAGGCACACCTCCTTTGCCCGATCTGGCCCCACCCGGCCATACGGTGTTTGCGATCACATGGCCGGAATAGCCGGCTTATACACTGACTGCAGGGGGCCTGTCTGAGCTCTCAGGCAATCCCCCTAATGCCTGCAAAAAAGTTTATAAAGGTTTTAAAAGGGAATACAAAGTTTAATAAAGTA